GGGAGGGGGGTGGAGAGGGGGGGAGAGGAGGGGGGGTGGTGGGGGTGGGGGGGTGAGAGAGATGATATTGATTATGTTCGTAAACATTAGTATTTCAAATATATTTTTCTTACATGTGGGTGGTGCTGTTGCATGCTGCTGTCCTCTGCATGGACTGTCACCTTCACAAGAGGGATGTCAGGCTATAACCCCACCGCCACCCTTCCCCCACCCAACCCTTTCCACAATGCTGCTCTCTTGTAATCATTTTATCACTGCCATTCGTGTCTTCAGAAGAATTAAGGCTTTGTTTCACACCTATGCGTTTTTTAGGGCTTTTTTGCAGAAAACGCAGTACACGTCCATTTAACATGGTTTCCTATGGACACAAGTGTCATGTCTATGCCTTTTTTTGAGCTCTGCTCGTTTTTTGGAAAGGGTCAGGGACTTTTTTAAAGAGCAAGAAGCCAGCATTTTTGGCTGCAATATAGTTTCAATGAAGAATCTGCTTGAAATGTAATGTAGTGCTGTTTTTGGCACGTTTTTGCTGCGTTTTTTGCATTTTTGCGTTTTTATTCTGCCCAGCATCATAAAAAATTTTTTTTTTGTCCCAACCCCTTAAAAAAAAAAAAATCTGAACAAAAAAACACGATAAAAACCCATGCAAAAACGTGTGTAGAAAAAATGCAAAATGGAAACTGCAAGTAGCACTGCAAAACGGGAAAAAAAAGCAAACTGCATAGGTATCGAATGGAGCCTTAAAGGAGCAACATGCAACAAGACTAAAATGAACAATCCATTACTACCAAGCCAATTTCAAAATACAACAAACATGCCAGCTTTACTTTATCCTCCAACTTTGTTACTTAAAGAACCTTTTTGCATGTTCTGAATCAACACCCTGTTGTCCACCTGCAACTTTTTTTGGCATTAACACAGCCTCCTTTTCCTATGGCATTTTTTACATTAGTTTGCCTGTTATCCCTAAAAATAGCCAGAATCTACAAACAATAGGTCATCCGCCATCGATTTCAACATGCTTCGCTGCAACGTTCAGGTTTTTGTGAATATACAAACATAATTTGACGAACCACCTAGATAGAGTTGTCCACATTCGCTGGTTAGGAACCTTTGGTTCTTAACTAATGTCTGTGGCTGGTGTGAGAGAGATTTTCTCTCCCAGTGACAAGTGAGGTTGATTGACTAAAGGCAACATAAACTGTCCCCACTGTAGCAATGGAAATTGCACATTGCCAAGGAAAGTTTGCCCCAGAGCTTACAGAATGTGGTGACATTTTACATTGCAAATTATAATCAGTTAAGCATGCAAGGAAAATATGAAAAAAACACAGAATTTCTTGGTACCATGAATGGATGATGGAACGGTCAGCATAGACGTCATCTCATTTCGCTTAAGGTCTTGGGATAATCGCTCCCCATGTAAAATGCAACTTCACTTGCCATTTGAAACAGTCTATTTGCCTGTAGTACAGCCACCCCCAAAATGTCAGCAGACAGTGAAAAACAATTGGGGAGGGATAGAACCCCGTGTCCGTTTTATTGCCTATCTGTTCCTCTGTTACAGATGTTCCCATATAAAACACAAATAAAAAATTGGTGCAACACTGAAAAAAAATTTATATATAAATGTGCAATACTCAAAATATTATATGAAGATATTAAATTAGATGTGATAACACAGGAGTGAATGAAGCGCTGCAATGAGCGCAGTTAAACAAGTGCGGCCCTTTTGATAACGTTGCATCAAGGAGAGCCGTACGCCGTGACATCACGCCGCTGGAGCCTCATGAAGGTCCGGTGGCCATCTAGAGAGTGTCTGGTCAGTTCCACTATTTTAAAACTGTGTTTGTTGGCGCTATTTTCCACGTGGATGATGTAACTACGTTTATATCTAAATAAAAATCTGATAAATTTACCTACACTATGAGCACCTTCTTTTTTGGCTCTCTATTGAGCTAAGAAATTTCCAGGAACTCCATAGCAAAATCTCGGAATAACGGTTGCAGAGCAGTCTCAGATCCAGAGGAGGGAGTCTCTTCCTATGAGGCTGTCTGTCTGGTCCATTTAAAGGGGGCTTCCTGCAGATGCTTGGTCAATATATGAGTGTGCATTTTTAGCAATTCCCTGAGACGGATAAAAGTCACATGGAATAATCTGATACCACCTGTGCAACAGGATTCGTGGGCCGGAAGTTTATAGCGTGTTTGCAGGGAGAGATAGTTTGCTGTTTATGCAGTGATAACCTCTTCTATATGCAGTAGTATATTAAGCCCTGTATTGTGCTGCCCCATTGTCCTGTGAACAAGGCAAAGGCATGGGCACAGCATTGTGAAAAGGCGCATGGGCACAGCGTTGTGAAAAGGCGCATGGGCACAGCGTTGTGAAAAGGCGCATGGGCACAGCGTTGTGAAAAGGGCGCATGGGCACAGCGTTGTGAAAAGGATCATGGGCACAGCATTGTGAAAAGGCGCATGGGCACAGCATTGTGAAAAGGCGCATGGGTACAGCATTGTGAAAAGGAGCATGGCACAGCTCACCTTAATTCAGGGACGGCAATAAATGTCTTGACTTTACAACCACTTTAAGCCAAGAAATAGTGTAACAGTGAAAATACAATTTAAAATGTGTGTTTGCGAAATATGGTATCATTTTGTGATGTCCCTGACATTCATATTGTTCTGTAGCACCACACACAGCTAGACCTTTCCCAAGCATTTATTAGAAAGGAATGGTACTTTTCCCATGTTGCCATTGAAGGCATAAAATGAAAGACCTGTTTCCTACTGAGTGGTATTTTTTAAAACATATTTTGCATTGGTACATGTTTCCCATCATGGTGCCCAGCTCCCCATGTCTTTGTTGGATAAATTCTATGCTTATTAGCCTGGAAATGGCTAAAGGTTATTTGTAAGATCTGCCTCCAATTACCATTAACAGAGTTCAGATACAATTTGCAATTTAATGTTTTTAATAAGGGTTCGACAAACAGCCCAATAATTAAATCTAGTCCAATTCGCTGTCGCTAATTATGAACTTTGGCTAACCCAGGTAATAAGTCCTTTTTTTTTTTTCTTCAACTTAATTTCTTTACTATAGCAAAAGTAAATTATGTATTTCCAAGCCCATGCAGCAGAAATTTATTTACCATTCCCCCTAGTAGCAATATTTATATAATATCATTAACAATTACATTCCTACTTCCCCTAGTAAAATATTGTATGAAGTATTCTGCTGTCCAGCAGCATTTTGCTGTGTTACTTCAGGTAGTTTTATTGTTCACACATCTAAGCATTATGACTTGCATTTAAAAAGAGTTTTTATTTTAATTTGCAGGATAATGTAACTAGTTTGTGATATAAACAGCTCAAGTGATGTTTTAGACACATTATTAGCATTCTATAGAATTGTGATTTGTATACCCTTGACACAGTTCTTAATTATTTTTCCATTGTTTAACCTCTACATTTTCAGATCGTTTTTTTGGGAACAATGTCAGATCCACCTATGAATCTGAGACGCCCTCTGCACCAGAGTTGCCTGAACATGCAGACGATGAGACATCAACAAACCTGTATGTGGGATCACAAATACTAGAAGATGACAGCCTGATTCCAGGGGAAGTTTATTCTCATCCAATTGATCAATCAGAGAAGCCATCACACAGCTATATGGAAAAGGATACTCAGTTAAGCAAGCCACAGGAAGAGCTGAGTGAGTCAGAAAGCGATGAATCTAGTAGGCAAGAATTGAACTATGATCAGTCACAGTTCATATATTCTGAAACTACTTCTCAGGATCCAGCTGCCAGCATCACCCAACCAGAAAAGTTAAGTGACCCCTATAAACAACCAGACAGACTTGTGTATAACACTGCTCAGTCGCCAGTATTAAACGAATGTGAAGTTCACATGGATAACATAGAGTACAGATATGATGAGTCAAACACACCACAGTACATACACATTCAATCACAGGAGCAGGAGTGCAATTATGCTCATGAGGTGGAACTAGATGACAAGCAATCAGATGAGCCAGTCTATACTTATGGACAGTTTGAAGAACCAGATTATATATATCAACAGTTGGAAAAGTCAGTCCACAAGTTTGAAAAGCCAGACAAGCCAAGTGTCCTGTATCAACAGTTTGAGGAGCCAGTTCAAGGATCTGAAAAGTCTGAGGAACCAGTATATACATATGAACAGTCGCAAGAGCCAGTTTTCAGATATAAACAGTCAGAAGGGTCAGGCCTCAAATATGAACAAACAGAAGAATCGGGCTACAGAGATCGAAAATTGGAACATTCCATCCATAAATATGAACTATTAGAAGAACCATCTCATAGATCTGAGAAGTTAGAAGACTCTGCTCATGAATATAAACAGACAGACAAACCAGCTGGGCAATATGAACAAACAGAAGAGTTAGCTTGCCAACAATCAAAGACAATAGTTCACAATATTCAGCAGTCTGAGGAGCCAGTCCACGTGTATGAACAGTCAGAAGAGGCAGTTCAGAAATATAGACCTTCAAAAGATCCAATTGATAAATATGAGCCTTCAGAAGAGTCAGAGCATAGATATGCTTACTTAGAAGAGACAGTCCATAACTATGAACAAGAAGACCCAGCTCACAAATATAAACAGTTAGATGAATCGACTGACCAGTATGAGCAAACAGAGCAGCTTGTTCAGGGATATCAAAAATCAGAGGAATCAATTTACAAATATGAAATGTCTGAGACGCCAGTTAATAGATATACACAGTCAGAGGAGATAAGCCACAGTCGTGATGAATCGCTGGAGCCAGATTACAGATATAAACAGCATGATGAACCAGTCCATAGTTATGAACTTGCAAACCAGTATGAATGCATTGAGGACCCAGGATACATTCACACAGGGTCAGATGCCAAAAACTCAGAGTGTATACAATCAGGGCTGATTGATTTGTACAACCAACAGTACAGGCTTGTTCAATCAGAGGAAATGGACAGTATGACTAATATTTCAACAGCATCAAGTGAAATACTTGGTAACTCTTCTGAAAAAGATATAACACTTAGTGATTTTTTAGAACAGCAGCTGAGAGAGAGTTACATGGAAGAACCAAAATATAGTGAGACTTCAACTGATGAAAAGCATGCTAGTGAAAAAACAGAGGAGCAATTCCATAAATATCCACCGTCAGAAGAACAGCAACTGCTAGGTATACATAAAGAAGAGACACAGTGGTGTCATGCTAAATCAGAAGAGGCTCAGCATGTAGATGAATTAGCAGAAGGGTCTAGACAAAAGTCACCAGCTATTACAACTGATGAATCAGATGGATCCATGCCTGAGAAGACACAGGAACAAGAGAGCCAAATTACATACCAAATCCTGAATGGACATGCTGAACATGGTGAATTGCAGACAGTTGACTATACAGATGCAGTCGAAGAGATCCAAGCTGAAGAACCAGAAGAGACACAGGCAGAAGTATCCCCTGCAGAAAATTTTGACTTTCTTGAGGTACGTTCTTCCTCCCGAGAGTGCCAACCTAGAGCATGGAGGACACTTTAGGGAGACAGTGACCTGTGGTGCACTATGAGCACTAGGGCAAAAAGTGGATGTTGCCAAACTTTAACAGTGGGCATAGATAAACAAAACCTGGTCTTCCTATAAAATATATTTGATTGTTGTGCCACAAGCAACAGTCTCACAGAAACATATAAACCTCAGCACAAAAAAGTTTCTATTACATGTGGTTTTGCAAACACTGAAAATAGACAGAGAACTATAACACTTTGCCTGACCCTACCTTAAAGAAGAACTTCATTAAAATATTCAGGGACTGCTTAGCACCAAGCAACTGTTGAGAAATATATAATGTATAATTTAGTGTATATAATCCAGGAGTCTGTAAGGCAGAGTGCAGGGGTCCGTAGTGTGCAATAGATAGGGTGCAAGGGTCAGGAGTATGTAATATACAGAATACTGTAGTCAGTACCAGGTTTAGTACATGATACACATAACAGGGTGCAGGAGTACATAATGCACAGAATACAGGGGACAGGAGTGTGAAATGCATAGTAAAAGTCAGGAATACAAAACAAAAAGAGTTCAGGAGTCCGTGGTGTGTAACACACAGTTGTAGGGGTTAGAAAAGTGCACACAATACTGTCCCCCACTTTACCCTTTCAGCAGTAATATCCAGCACAAATCTTCTTCCCACTTCCCCAGCACAAACCATCAACCCCAAATCTCCCATCCCAGCACAAATATCCACCCCTCTCAAGCCTCTCTCCCAACAAAATGCTCTTCCCGTCCCAGAAAAATTCTACCCCCCCAGCAAATATCCTTCTTTCCCCAATCCCCCTCCCAGAATAAATCCTCTTCCTCCCCAATCCCCAAATCCTATTCCCCCCCAAATTCTCCATTTCAACACAACTCCTTTTTCCAGTACAAAACGTCCTCCCCCTTAATATTCCCTCCCTGCACTACAAATCACCTAAAATTCACCTCCCAGCAAAAATTATGTCCCCCCTTCAAGCACAAATCCTCTCCCTCCCAGTATAAATCCTAACCCCCTCCCAGCAAACATCTTCCACCTCCCAAATCTCCCCCTCCCATCACATCCCCCCATCCCAGCACAAACCCCCCCCCCCCTCATCTTCAGCACAAATTGTCTCTTTCCTCAAAACCCCGTGCTAGCACAACTCCCCATCCTAGCAAAAATCTCCCACCCCCCTTCCCCAGTTCTCTCCAGCATATATCCTCTTTCCCTCAAATCCCCCTCCCAAAACAAATCCTCCCACCCAAATCCCTACTCCCAGCACAACCTCTCCCTCCCCCCAAACACAAATCCTCTTCCTCCTTCTAGCACAGGTCCTCTCACCCTCCCCTCCCAAGGTGTCCCCCTGCACGTATCCTCTTATTCTCCTCTCCCAAATACCCTCACCACCCTACTAGGTCACTGTGTGTCCCTTTGCAATTCTTTATTTCCCCTAATAAACTAATTGCAGACTTCAGATCAGCACAGCTGATGCAGGGGTACATTCCTCCTCCCCAGCTCCTCCATCTGGCCTGGCCACATTATATCATCATAGCCGAGCAGGAGCCTAGAGGATGCTTCCATTGGCTCCGAAGTCAGTTGTGACAGGCAGCCAACATTTCTCTGAATTTTTCAGGACACTAGGATTCGGTTAAAATCTTGGGCTGTTCCCAGAAAATCCAGGACAGTTGGGAGGTATGGGATCAATGATAGTAATAATCATGCGGTCATAACTCCCAGACATCATTACTCTTCCACTGAACAATTTTTCTGCAGTTTTAATGAGCACAGCACATTTGCAGATACAGCGTAATGCCATAATTGTGCTACACATGTGGTATCTGGCAGTGTGGCTCCTAGGAAGTCCCTCTAAGCATAACACTGATGTGTGCAGAAACTAGATTTACTACTGTTGGCACAGGGGAAGAGTGAGAGAGAGAATAGGACTTGGGCCCATGATTTGCTAATTCCTTTTGCCTATGCTGCAAATGTACACTTTCTGCTTTTGGTCTTGAGAAAAACATTTTCTTGACCATTATTGTACCCTGATTTTCTTTTTAAAGTCAACCCATAACTGTTATTTCATAAACAGATGAACAAATAGGTGCTGGTTTCAATTTTAAAGATCTTGGCACTGTAATCCAAGCTGAATATAAGAAACCAGTGGTTAATTTATCTTGACAAATTCACCGAAATAACTTATTATTGCTTTCTGTTCAGGGTACTGTTGTTCTAGATACATCTTTCATGAGAGGCAGAGCCTCTTTAGGCAAGAAAAGAGGCCACAGGACCCCTGCTGGAACCTGTGCTTCTGAAGAGGATCCGGAATACTGGATGTTCAGAGACTCTACAGGTATGGAAGTATCTTGACGCATGATTAAAAGCCACAGAGACTTGTTTGATAAAATTAATTTAGATTTTTCTTTTCAAGTAAGGCTTATAAGCCTGCTAAAACAGGTATGCCAAGCTGGTGTTTTGTTGTGTCTCATGATGCCCGCTTACTTGTTTGTTGCTATTTGAAAAAAATTAAAGAGGTACTTTTTGATAGTGTGGGGAAGAGGTGGTGCATTGTGGTAATTGATTTGTGCAAACCAATAAAATATCTCTTGACTTGTTTATAAATATACAGAGGCCTCATCAGACACTAGAAAAAAGTAGACTAACCAGCCGTAGATAATCCCCAGGGGCGGTCTGACTATTTAGCCACTCAGGCACTGCCCGAGGGCCGGGGTCAGTAGGGGGCTCCATGAGATGCCCCTGGTACCTTTCATAAGCTTTTTTGGGTGTGATTTGAGTGTGGGCATGGACACAGGGGCCCCATGATTTCCTATTGCCCGGGGGCCCCATGAGTTATCAGTCCGCCCCTGATAATCCCTTGTGAATATTGCTATCATTTGTGCATTGATAACAAACTAATAAAGCAGAACTCCAGTTATTATTATACAGTATTTATAAAGCGCCAATAGTTCGCTCAGCGCTGTACATTACAAAGGGGGACAGAACATGTGACAGAACAATACCTATACAATGCAAAACATGAGGGGATTGAGGGCCCTGCTCTTTCAAGCTTACAATCTAGGAGGGAGGGGATGGTGGCACAGGAGGAGATAGCTGTGGGGGATGGAGTGGTAGGAAGAGTGGAGGAGGTTGGTCAAGTTAGCAGGGGGTGGGGTAGGCTTCCCTGAAGAGATGGGTTTTCAGGGTGCGCCTAAAGGAGAGGAGAGTAGGTGATAATCTGATGGGTTGGGGCAGGGAGTTCCAGAGGATGGGTGACACCCTGGAGAAGTCCTGGAGGCGGGCATGAGAGGAGGAGACCAGGGAACTAGAGAGAAGGAGGTCTTGTGAGGAGCGGAGTGTGCGTGCTGGGCGGTACTTTGATATTAGGTCAGTGATGTAGTTCGGGGCAGTGTGGTGGACTGCTTTGTACGTCAGTGTTAGGATTTTGAATTGATCCGTTGCGCAATCGGAAGCCAGTGGAGGGATTGGCAGAGGGGGGTGGCGGAAACGAAGCGGTTGGAAAGGTGAATGAGTCTGGCAGCCGTATTCAGGATCGACTGAAGTGGGGATAGCCAGCGGCGAGGCAGGCCAGTGAGGAGGGGGAGTTGCAGTAGTCGAGTCGTGATATGATGAGGGAGTGGATGAGCTGTTTAGTGGTTTCTGGGGTTAGGAACGTGCATATTTTGGCGATGTTGCGGAGGTGGAGTCTGCACGAGTTTGTTAAAGATTGGACTTGGGGCTGGAAGGATAGGTTGGAGTCCAGAATGACACCAAGTACTCTGGCCTGCAGGGCGGGTTTGATATTGGCGTTGTTGGATGTGATGGAGAAGTCAATGGGGGGTGGGGTCCGGGCTGGGGGGGAAGACAAGAAACTCTGTTTTGGAGAGGTTCAGTTTAAGGAAGTGGAGCGACATCCAATCTGATATGTCGCTCAGTAGATGTGTGATTCGGGCGGAGACCGAGGGGGTGAGGTGGGGGGTTGAAAGATAGATTTGTGTGTCGTCGGCATAGAGGTGGTAGTTGAAGCCGTGAGAGTGTATGAGTTGGCCAAGGGAGGAGGTGTAGATGGAGAAGAGAAGGGGCCCAAGGACAGAGCCTTGAGGGACCCCAACAGAGAGGGGGAGTGAGGGGGAGGGTGGTAGCATTATAGGTAACGCTGAAGGAGCGTTGTGACAGGTAGGATGAGAGCCAGGAGAGAGCAGAATCTCTGAGGCCGAGGGAGTGTAGTTTTTTGAGGAGGAGGGGGGTGGTCGACTGTGTCGAAGGCCGCAGAGAGGTCGAGGAGTAGGAGCACTGAATAGTGGCCATTAGCTTTGGCGGTTAGAAGGTCGTTGGAGAGTTTGAGTAAGGCGGTTTTGGTGGAGTGTAGGGGACGGAAGCCGGACTGTAGGGGATTGAGGAGGTGGTTGACGTTGAGGTGAGAGCATAGGCGGGTGTAGACGAGGCGCTCGAGGAGTTTAGATGTAAATGGGAGCAGGGAGATGGGTCGGAGGTTGTTCGGGTCATTGGGGTCCAGGGAGGGCTTTTTAAGTATGGGGGTGATGTGTGCATGTTTCAGAGGGGAGGGGAAAGTGCCTGAGGAGAGGGAGAGATTGAAGATTAGGTGGGTGAGGGAGCATAGGATGGAGGGGGAGGGAGGTCGTAGGAGTTGTGTAAGGGGATAGGGTAGAGGGGGCAGGTGGTGAGGCGGGCATCAGAGAGGATCTTGGAGACTTCCTCGATGGTAGTAAGGTCAAAGGTGCGGAGTGTTGGGGGAGCTTCAGTATGAGGAATGTAGGGTGGGGTGGAAGTGGAGGTCAGAGCAGTGGTGGGGCTGTGGGAGAGGGGTGATGAGGGGGTAGCTGAGTGAGGGGGAACGGGGTTGGAGGGAGTTTGAGCAGTGACGAAGTCCCTGCGGGTTATGTCGAGGGGGAGGGGGGATGAGGGGGTAGCTGTGTGAGAGGTGACAGGTTGAGAGGGCGTGTGAGTTGCGACAATGTCCTTGCGAATTGTGTCAATCTTGTTTTTGAAGTGATTGGCAATCTCAAGGGCGGTGAGTGAGGTGCTGGGTGGAGGTGGGGGTGGCGAGAGTAGAGAGTTGAAGGTGGAGAAGAGTCGGCGAGGATTGGAGGAGAGGGTCTTGATGAGGGTCAGGAAGTACGCTTGTTTGGCTACGTGGAGGGAGGAGGTGTAGTTGTGGAAGGCAGATTTGTAGCGGGTGAAGGCTTGTTGGGATTTTGGTTTTGCGCCATAGTCGCTCCAGGGCACGACTGTGTCATTTGAGGGTTTTGGTGTGATCAGTCTGCCAGGGCTGAAGCGGTCGGGGTCTGACGTTGCGTGTGGTTAAAGGTGCTAGTGAGTCAAGGGCTGTTGACAGCGCGTTGTTGTAGGCAGTCATAGCCAAGTCAAGGCAAGACAGGGGGAGATGCTGTCATGGAATTGATCAGCTGCAGAGTGGAGGGGGGCAGGGTTAAGGTTGCGGAGGTTACGGCTGGTAGTAGTGTGACATTTGGAGCGGTAGGCATTGGAGGACGAGGAGATAGAGAAGGTAATCAGGTTGTGGTCAGAGAGAGGGAATGGGGTGTTAGTGAGGTTGTGGGGAGCGCAGCGGTTGGAGAAGACAAGATCAAGGATATTACCGTTGGAGTGGGTGGTGGATTGTATGCACTGTGCAAGTGCAAAGGAGGTTAAGTGGAGGAGATGGGATGTGTCCGGGTTGTCGAGGTTGACAGGGATGTTGAAATCCCCAAGGATGATGGTGGGTAGCTCAGAGGAGAGGAAGAAGGGTAGCCAGGAGGAAAAGTCATCCAGGAAGCGGGGTATGAATCCAGGAGGCCGGTATATCACAGCAATCTTCAGGGGGGTTGGGGAGAATAGTCGGACACAGTGGGCCTCGAAGGAGGAGAAGGATAGGGAGGGGGGGTTTGGGAGGACTCGGAAAATGCTCTGCGGTGACAGGAGCAGACCAACCCCACCGCCTTTACGACCGTCAGGTCTGGGTGAGTGGGTCCAGGTGAGACCTCTGTAGGAGAGTGCAGCAGGGGAGGTAGAGTCAGTGGGCTGGATCCAGGTTTCTGTCAGGAATCTAGGAATGACCAGAAAGGTGTGGACTGACACAGGGAAACGCAGGTTTCAGGTATAGTATAATAATACAGTTTATTATTAGCCACCCAGATATTTATAAACGCACAGTGAACAAACCAACCTTCCACTAATCTTAGTAGGTGCAGGAACACAGGCGTAGTCAGGGCTGGAGAGGTGGAACGGTCAGGCCAGCCGTAGGGTTCTGTAATGACCGTTTGGTGGTACCTCTAGTGGTCCCCAGGACAGGATTCCCCAGGGCGCGGAGTCTAAGTCCCAGTCTGCTTATTCACCAGGGCCCCTGATGGTGGGGATGGACTTAGAGCAGACAGGAACCAGGTCGCGGCCCCTGAGTACACCTGCTAGTGGTAGAGGGATCCGCCAGAGGTATGTGCAGGTACGGCTGGATCCGTGCAGGGATGGATGGATGGCAGAGTAGTTAGCGTGGTCAGACGGGCCAAGTCAGCAACGTGCGGGCAGCAAGGTACCAAAAGGAGCAGGCAGAGCATGGTCAAGGTCACAAGCCGGGTTCAGTAACTCACGGACAGCGCGGTACAGGGGATCAGGCAGAAGAATGGTCAGGCAAGCCAGGGGTTCAACAGGAGACGGTCAGCAGAGGTCAGGATCAAGCCGGGTCAGCAACGAAGCAGGAACACAGGATACCAGGTACAGAGGCTCATGGGAAAAACATACACCAAGGCCCAGAGCACAGGCCTGGCCATGCCTTAAATACACCTTTCTGCAATCAGCACCAGGTTTGGCTGATTGCACGTGTGAGCTTCTGGCTGCTGAGAGCACCCGCTGGTCAGCTCTGGTACTGCAGCCCACACGGCAGGTGAGTCCCACCACCAGTGCTGAGTCCATTCCTGACAGTTTCTGTGATCGCTAGGAGGTTGAGGGAGCGGGAAACAAAGAGGTCGTGGATGGCGGTAAGCTTGTTGCACACCGATCGGGCGTTCAGGAGTACACATGAAAACAGGGGGGAGATTTTAGGGAGCAGGGCGACAGATACTAAGTTGCGGGGGGATGCGGCAGGACGTGGAGGCAGGAGGGTGTTGTGTGGGTGAGGGAGGTGGTAGAGGGCCAGGATTCGGGGAGATGTCCCCCGCGGTTAGGAGGAGGAGAAGGGTGAGAAAGGTGGCATGGGAGCGGGATGTGCAGGAGCGTGAGAAACTACTAGTGGAGGTGTTTGGGTCAGTGGGAGAGTGGAGTAATAGGAGGAGGAGGTGGTGGGTGCCGTAGAGGGGCGAAGGAAGTAGTGAGGACACAATATACAATTGTTTGGGAGGAGCAGAGGGATATAGTGAATGGATTTTGGGAACAGAGGAGAGGAAAATGAGGAGGAGTGGAAGAGGCATTTTGGGGAGGTGAAGAGAGCAATAGTAGGGAGATGATAGCAATGAGGGGGAGATGTACAAGTTTTGGGGTGGAACAGAGGGTAAGGAAATGAGATTTGGGAACAGAGGATAGTAATATGATAAGGAGAAGAGGGGATGTATTGTATAAAAGGTACACGGAGTGGGACTCAGGTATGAAAGAGAGGTTTTCCAGCGTGCAGTAGAGTTACTTGTAGTTGTTGTGTCTTCCTGCTGCTTAAGTTCTCCTGCTTTAGTTTAACTGCATCGCACTCTTTCAAAGCAGCACTCAATCAGAATCAGCACCCCGATCAGAGACACTGCCCCCCATCAGAGATCTCCCCCCATGAGCTGATCTAAATTTATAGGGAGATGCTCAAATGAGCATTTAACTCCACCCCAATTAGAGGCTGATAAGGATCACATGAATAGTGGGGGATGTTACAGGGAGCAGGCTACAGTCATAAACTGGGTGCAGCTAAAGGTGAGGACTGGTCAACAGTTAGAATTGTTTTTATCATGCAGTGGAGTTGTGCTCCCACTGCATGGATTGGCTGCTCATTTCTTCTATGGGTGAGGACAAAGCTCATACTCGCCTAACCCACCGGTCCTATGGAAAACCGCTTTCCCTCACGGTCTACTGGTGGACTGTACTTATCTGTGGAGCTTGCATTGAGCATGCTGATGTCAAGTACAGCCCATTTACAAGATTGCTGGACCGCAGGGAGGCAGGAGCCGAGAGGACCGGTCTTATGCGGGGAGGATAGGCAAGTCAGGAAAGTATATCTTCCCTAGAACAAAATGACCATTTGATCCATGCAGTGCCAGCACAGCCCCAGTGCACAAAACCAAAAAATGTTTTCCCTGGATTTCTGCTTTAAGTCACAAGAATGTCTCGTGTCATAACTGATCACGTGCAACACCATGGCGACTGAAAATCAAAAAGAGGCTAAGATGGCAGCTTCCTCGGCTGTAAAGGATAGGAGGGTTTAGTTCTACTTTAAAGCTAGTGGCAGACTGCATCATATATTGTTTTTTATTTTACTTTTCATAGTTCCACTTATATGTTTTAAAGGTATATGTTCATGTACTTATTTCTTCTAGAGCCAAAAAGCTTCCCAGAAAAGACCTCTGATGAAGAGGATAAAAATGAGAGATCTCCTGATGGAACTCCTGTTGAAACTCCAGGCAATTCCCCATCACCAATTAAATCTCCCAACAAAAAAGGAATTTTTGGTGGAATAATCTCGCCGTCACTTCTGAAGGTAACACTATTAATATGTGAGACTAAAAAATATATATGTTTGTAAGTCATAGCAATTTTCTTTTTACTGCTCAAAGCAGATCTATTCTGCTGCTGGTTAGAAAGTGATTGATAAGCAGTTTAAGGTTAGTGACTGCACTTTTGGGGAAGGTGTACTGATATGTGGCAAGAAATAATTTACAGAATTTTCAAAGGGCTTGTGATTTACTGGCCAATAATGTTTCTTGATATTATTGTTGGCTTGCCAGGCAGCTAAGCCATTGCTGCTGCAAAATAAAAAGGATCAGTATATGGAAATGTCAATAACAAAGGTAGAAAATACTGTTAATATGCACATGCTTGAGAAATTAAGGTTAGGGATAAGAAAAGACGTTTTTATACCAGCTTGCTACTTATGCGTGAGACCAATAGTAACATTTCCGGCTCCTGCAAGATATTAACTGTGCAGCATCTCCAGCGCTGCCTAAAATGTTACTAAACCCACAACAGTAAAATCAGCTTGTATGTGCAGTAAATCATGCTTGTTACACTCACTGTAGAACCTAAGGGGTTAATCCTCTGCATTGTGTAAAATGGCTGTTTGATCCTTTCTTCTCTGTTCCTCCCCTTTTTCAAGCGACCACCGCTTATTTCCAGACTGAACAGTAGGCATGCACATGCTCAGTTTGGTGTGTTTTGCTAGAGAGGTTTTTTTTCCTTGGGAGAGTGCATGTGAGCAGCACAGGGCCAATCAGCACTGTCCAGACAGAGGTCAGGGGATTTCCATCCTCCTAAAGCAGAAAGAAAACTCCTCCTACAAGCTTTAGCTAGTGCTCTGCTAGACACTGACAGAAGTCACAAGACTGCTCTAACTTCTGATGAGAAAAGGTATTTAGCAGTTTAAATTTACTAAAATAATTGCACTTCCATGTTCTGTGTACAGTGGGAGACCAGATATAGTGAATGCATAGTCCTGGGTTTAGTAACATTTTAACTTCTCTCCCACAAACTTCCAGTTTTGTTTTGCACTTATAACAAATATCTTTCAGTGGTATATTTAAAGTATATGGAAGCCCTAAAAAATGACTTATTTTGCTTACTTGGCTCCTTTTGATCTGTTAAATATACAGTTGAAAATGTTGTATTCTATCTGTTTGATAAGTTCAAGAAAATACCTGTTGATCTTGGCAAAAATCTTGTTACTTGATAACTTCCTGTGCACTCTGCCTGTGCTGACTGATATCAGTGACATTGTTCTTAGCTGGGATTCAAATGGTGGCCATCCTTAAATGTTCAAGGAGTCAAGAATGAAAAGGCACCATGAAGACCAATATGATGGTTTTGTTGTGTCCACCGAAAAAAAGGAAAGAGGAGAGGTGGTAGAATCCTTTTAGTGTAGTGCGTATACGTGGTATAGTGGTGAACTAAATAAAATTTAGGCAGAAAAAGAGGAAAATAAATAACTTACATCTGATGAGACAAGCAACCTTCCAGGGGTGCAGGTGAAGAAAATTCATAGAACTTTATTTCACTTAAAACACGTTCTGTGGCTCACAAATTAGTTTATGGTGATACACAAAAGTTTCCTGGTTCCAGACTTTACCATACCATGACATGAACATGCTATGGTAATCTGTAATGTATTAGATTTTTTATTGCTCCAATGGGTTTGCATGCTTTAAAAGACCAAAAGGGAGAAAATTAAGAGAAGTTGTTAGGCATTACAAACACTTTAGCATTTTATAGCAGTTTGCATTTGCAAAACTGAAGTTATGGGCAAAAGAAGGCTGGAGGAATGGAAAGAGTGATTGATTAGGAAAAAAGTTATGCCTGACTTTTGAGAAAGCTCCTCTGAGAAAGTGAAAGGTATAGCCTTATGAGGAGTCAACTGAAGGAGCTCTTGAGTAAGTGTGTGAGGGCCTACAGATATGGTTAAAGTATAACCAAAGACATTTTTTTTGTAGATTTGGATAGAGTGCTAAGGGATTAGAATTAATGATTTTATTGCTGTCTGTTTTCTCAGTAGAGGTGTTTACTCCCTCTAATGCCCATACATACATTTAGAATATCAGACGAATGATCATTGTTTTTTTTTTTTTCCTGCATGCTAGTCTCATATATAGAAGAGGTTACCAAAGTTACGATAATTCTTTAACCATTTCAATACCGTGCAATTTTACACCTTCCTGCCCAGGCCATTTTTCAGGTTTCAGTGCTCTCACACTTTGAATGACAATAGCGCAGTCATACAACATTGTACCCAAATTTAAATTTTATCATTTTCTTCACACAACTAGAGCTTTCGTTTGGTGGTATTTAATCATTGCTGGAGTTTTTATTTTTTGCTAAATTAATAAAAAAGTCCGAAAATTTTGAAAAAATTTTTTCTGTTATAAAAGTTTGCAAATAAACAATTGTTCTTCATAAATTTAGGCCGAGATATATTCTGCTACATGTCTTTGGTGAAAATAACCCAAATTAGGATATATTTTTTAGTTTGTAGGAAAGTTATAGAGTTCACAAACTATGGTATAGATCTGAATATTGATCAATCCTGAAGTACTGACAGCCAATCTAATTTCTTGAGGTCCAAGAATGTCAGAATAGTACAGATATCCCCCAAATGACCACTTTTTGCAAAGTAGATAGTCCGTCGTACTTCATAAGAGGCATGGCGAGTTTTTTGAAGTTGTATTTTTTTTGTCATAATTTTTTGGAAAATGGAAAAAAAAAAAAAAAAAAATATTTTCACTATTTTTTTTTTACATACTGTCACCAGTGCAGTACAGGGTCATCATATAACTGGCATGGCGGTGATCAGGGACACTGACGTGACAGTGTGTGAAAAAAAAAAAATATATATATATATATTTTTTTTTTATTTTACATTTTTTATTAAATTCTTTTTCTTTTTTTTAAGATTATTTTTTCATATTTCACTATGTCCAAAGTAGTACAATGTTACCATAGTAACATTGTACTACTTTGGGGAAGTGATCAGTATTTTTTTTTTTTTTTTTTTTTTTTTTTACACAATTTGCTTATAGCAAAGAATTACTTTGCTATAAGCAAGCATTTACCTGAATGACATTGATTCATTCAGGGTTTTTTTTTTTTGTGCTTAGCTGTGATTTGGCCACTGCTAATCACATGACATGTGCATGTGATTAGTTGTGACCATTCACAGCTAGACACTAGTATACAATGGATGGCATGAATGAAGCCATCCATTGTATACAACTGTCATGTGACCTGCTGTGATTGGTCACAGCAGGTCACATGGTATCGGCAATGGGGGCCGGTACTCAGATCTGTCATCGGCCATGTCCGAGGTACACGGCTGGTGACAGATCGCGCCGCTGCGCGGCTCTGCAAGTGTGCAAACTGCGCCTGTGCGGGAGGACGCCATATTGCGGCCTCCCTAAAAGCTACTACATTTTTGCAGACGCCATTTGGCCATAGGCCGGGCGTCAAATGGTTAACGACAGAACAAAAAATCAGAAGTATTATTGTATTTCTGATGACTACTGTACTGGTTAAATGAAAATCGTACGATTCGGTATTGTACGATAAAAATTTTCATGCTTGTCCCTTCTATTTTTTCCCGGATGATTGCAATGTACTAATAACTAGATTATCATACGATTGCTTTAAAAGTGGCAATTTTCGTACGATATTCTGACTGTGTATATGGGGCTTAATTGTCCTAACCACCATTGTCTCTGGGAACGAGAGTGAGAAAGTGAGAGTAAATCCAGAAATTTGAGTTGCCACCAGAACAAGAATAGAGGAGGGATCTTCAAATAGGGACACATATTTACATGACAGCTGTCTAAGAGGGATTTATTTTCCTGACATCGGAAGATATAAAGATATATTTTTGCTTCCTGTGTGTGTGTATATAATAGCAGTCAGACATCACTAACCTGATCAATCACTGTTTTTGGTAGAAATTATATTTCTACATGGCAAATAATTTACTAGCAGGTGTAGTAGAGTAATAGAAATCCAACAGACCCAACAGTCATGACATGAATGCTGCTGATGCTGTGTAATTGAATCACTAATTGAAAGGGGCATGTTCAAAATAATTAGTGAGGTCATTCATTCTTTGAAAAACAGGTGGCAATTATTGCCCTTATTTAAGGAAGGAAGGAAGGCAGCAAAATGTTGAACATGCTGGTTACAGTGCATTTCTCTCTGAAATTCTGAGGAAAATGGGTCGTTCGAGATATTGTTCAGAAGAACAGCGTACCTTGATTAAAAAGTTGATTGGAGAGGGGAAAACATTTAAAGTGCAGAAAATGATAGGCTGCTCAGCTAAAATGATCGCAAATGCTTTAAAATGGCAACCAAAACCTGAAAGACGTGGAAGAAAGCGAAAAATGACCATTCGAATGGATAGAAGAATAGCCAAAATGGCAAGGACTCAGCCAACAATCAGCTCCAAGAAGATCAAAGAAGGTCTAAAGTTACCAATGAGTACAGTTACAATTAGAAGACGCCTATGTGAAGCCAAGCTATCTGCAAGAAGCCCCCGCAAAGTCCCACTGTTGAAAAAAAGACATGTGCTGAAGAGGTTACAATTTGCCAAATTTGACTGGCCTAAAGAGAAATGGCGCAACATTTTGTGGACTGATGAAAGTTAGATTGTTCTTTTTGGGTCTAGTGGCCGGAGACAGTTTGTCAGACAACCCCCAAACACTGAATTCAAGCCACAGTACACTGTGAAGACTGTAGTTGTGCAAGCATCATGATATGGGGATGTTTCTCATACTACGGTGCTGGGCCTATTTATCGCATACCAGGGATCATGGATCAGTTTGAATACATCAGAATACTTGAAGAGGTCATGCTGCCTTATGCTGAAGAGGAAATGCCCTTGAAATGGGTGTTCCAACAAGACAACGACCCCAAACACACCAGTAAAAGTGCAACATCTTGGTTCCAGACCAACAAGATTGACGTTATGGAGTGGCCAGCCCAATCCCCGGATCTTAATCCAATAGAAAACTTGTGGAGTGACTTCAAAAATGCAGTTTCTGAGGCAAAACCAAGAAATAGAGAAGAACTGTGGAATGTTGTCCAATCATCCTGGGCTGGAATACCTGTTCACAGGTGCCAGAAGTTGGTTGACTCCATGCAACACAGATGTACAGCAGTTCTCAGAAACAGTGCTTATACAACTAAATATTAATTAAGTGATTCAAAGGAAAGCAAATCTTCAAACATTTTTCAGTTTATATAGTGAATGTTTGAGTTTGTAAAGAAGAATACAAACACTGCTATTTTTTTGAACAGTCTAATATTAATTTTTCTTAAATTTTTTTAGAGGAGCAACACAAATTTGATATATTTTTCTTCATATTTTGATTTAGAATAGAATGTGTAGTGTTCCCAATGCATTTGTGTGTATGGAAAAAAAGCTATTAGAAGGATTTTGAGCTTTATTCACTTTTTTCAACACACTGCTATTATTTTGAACACAACTGTATATATATTATACGCTGTGTATGTAATGCAACTGTACCTCAATTACTAAGAGAGGGGTGCATGGTAGTGGTGGTTGAATTCAAAGCTCAGGTCAAGTCAGTCACTTAGAAAGTATTGAAGTCAAAGAATCCATATGTTTGCTAAGCAACTTGCTTTTTTAGAAGGTCAACGACGACGTTCTTCTAAAATGTTTTTTCTTGGTACATGTTTTAAGTCCTCAGAACAACTATTATTTTACGATCATTGAGCTTTGCTTTAACTATGAATGCATGGATTTGAGTAGAATAAACATGTAATCGGAAAATAGATAACTATACAAATCTATACCTAGGGTCGGTTAAAAACTCGCAGCAAAAACTACTGAGGATGAAACAGTTAGACCAGAGGCAGAAGAGTCAAAATCCCCTGGAAAAGAAAAACCAGAATCTTCAAGGTAAGAATGAGCATTACAGCTGTGTCTAGGCAGTAATGCATTTGGCTCACATTTGGTGTTCACTGTAAATAAAAAAAAAAAAATCAGAGCACCTGTGGTCAGTAGGAGGAAAAGTGCCCCATCACTGGTATTAGTGGGAAGAATAGTGTCCCATCGCATCAGTGCAAGGAATTGTATCCCATTGTAGGTATCAGTGGAAAGAAGAGAGCCTCCTTGTTGGTATCAGTGGGAAGAATAGTGCCTCAGCACTGGTGTAAGTGGGAGGAATTGTGCCTCATCATTGGTGTCAGTGGAAGGAATAATGCCCCTCCGTTGTTGTCAGTGGAAGGAATAGTGCCCCATTGTTGGTGTCAGTGGGGGGAATAGTCCCCTAACATTGGTGTCAGTTTAAGGAATAGTGCTCCATTGTTAGTGTCAGTGGGAAGAATAGTGCCTCATTGTTGGTGTCAATGGAAGAAATAGTACCTAATCATTGGTGTCAGTGAAAGGAATAATGCCCCATCGTTGACGTCAGTGGAAGGAATTTTTGTTGTCAGTAAGAGGGGGATAGTGCCTTCTATTAGTGGAAGGAATAGTGCCCCAAGGGCAGGATAAAGGTAAGTTGAGGGCCACAGTTTAGAGATCCTCGCTCTAAATAACTACTTTCAAACGAGATTTAATTATTTATTTATAGTTCCAAGTTGTAGTGTGTGTGTGTGTGTGTGTGTGTGTGTGTGTGTGAATCATTGGGGGTGAGAGGGACTACTTCTATCTATCATGATAGTTCCATGATTCATTACAAACCATGCCAAAACCAAAATGTGAGGCAGTCCTTGTAGAACATTCATTTTTTCCAGCCATACAATGAAACCAGGACAAAAAGCAGGGAAAATAGAAAAGCATTTAGGTGCCAAAAGTACACATGCAAAATATTCATTAGGAATGGCTCCCCTAGAAGAATCAGTGATGGAAAAGGATCCGGGGGCTGCTTGCAGATCACAGATTTAGCAATAGCATGCAATGCCAAGCTGCAACTAACAAAATACTCTCATGCAGGGGCGGACTGACCATTTGGAAACTCGGGCACTGCCCGAGGGCCCGGGGTCAGTAGGGGGCCCCATGAGATGCCCCTGGCACCTTTTTCATAGGCTATTTTGAGTTTGGGCAAGGACACAGGGGCCCCATGATCCCCTTTTGCCCGGGGGCCCCATGAGTTGTCAGTCCACCCCTGCTCTCATGCATTAAAAAAGAATATATGTATATTCAAGAGATAAATCAATAATTCTACCACTTTACTGGTTCAACCTCATCTTGAATATAAAGTTCAGTTTTGGTCACCAATCCTCAGGAAAGACTTCAGCGAAAGGCATCAAAACAATAAAGGGGATGGAGGACCTCAGCTATGTGGATCTATTACATAGATTACAGTTATTCACACTGGAGAATAGGCACTTAAGAGGGGATATGATTACAATGTACAAATATATCAAAGGTGTCATAAGTAACAGTAATAAATTGTTTACTCTAAAGTCACTGTAAAGGACACGTGGTCATGATTTGAGGTTGGAAGAAAGGAGGTTTAACCTTAGATTGTGGAAAGAGTTCTTTACTGTTAGAGCAGTACAAATGTGGTACTCACTGCACCAGGAAATAATATTAGTCCCATATTAGGTCATCCTTACACTGGACTCTGGACTCCTCGATAGTGTCCATGACATCCTGGGGGACATATGGATAGTCCAGCCCACACTCCAAAGCTACTCTCTTCTGTACTTCTCTCTGCAGTTGGGAGAAATGGGGAAGAGGAGTGAGGGGACCAAAGGATCCATTTTTGTAAAGTAGGGTTCTTGGCCTTGGTCATAGGCCAAGGTGAGGAGAACTTTGGTGGGACCTGAGTGGGTATCCTAACAAGCTCTGACCTGCAAGAACATCCAGCTGAGTCTGGTGTAAGCGAACATCCCAACGGTCCCGTCAGTGAGTCTATGTGTTTCATAGTGTCCCTCTAGTCCCATTCCTCCTCTGTCTCTTCTGGGGACCAGTCCTCCTGCTTGATCTCTAGGGGCCCAAATTCAGCTAATGGCCTTGGTGAATCCCAATCTATCCACTGACACTCTCTGCTGGCTCACCAGAGGACTGAGCATCCTCGCAGCTAGGCTTCTTCCAGGCGGAATGGTCAGGGCAGGTGGGCGAGTCTGGCTTCTCTGGGGCATCTGCTGGCTCTGTCAGGGCAGCACTTGTGGGCACCGGCCCTTCAGCAGCATCTTCGAGTGGATAGTGGGTGTTGGTGGGTAGCTTTCCTCTGCTGCATGGTTCCCCCATAGGTGTAGGGGAGTCATGGACCCAGGTCTGAAGAAGGAGCCTCTGAGGTCTGAAGAAGGAGACCTCAGAGGCTCCTTCTTCAGACCTCAGAGGTCTGAAGAAGGAGCCAATTGAGCATGCTCCGAAATGCATTGCTGCCCCCTTCACCTCCTACATCCGACTCTGCTCTCCAAGCCTCATTTTGATGCACAGGCACTTCCTGGGCTCTACTTCCTGATCCTATAGACAGTTTGTTGCTGGACGGCTGGATGTTCCATCTGGATCTTATTACACCCCATGAGTCTTTTTAACTATTTATCTTGTAAGTGCAATTTATCCATTGTTTACTAAATAAATCGTCAATACTGCACTTAGAGGCGCCTTCCTCTCTTGTTCTAGTAGAAGCCACCTGTGGAACAGGAAAGGGACATCTGTAGACTGGTTGCTGCGGGCAATGACGAGCAGGACAGAAATGGCAGTAGGCCCTTCATGGACATTAGTAAACATATACAGAGCATAGTCTTTGTTAGGGGCCACCTGTGGAGCAGTGCAAAGACTCTTGGATTGGCCCAGCATAGTTGCTAATAGCAAAAGTTCTTTAACACAGCAGCAATTATGATTACAGCACCACAGCAAAGCTTCCACGCCAATTCCATGACACTTTCCTCTGCTGCAGTGCTCTTCCTATGGCTTGTTAGGTGCTATAATAGATCCTGGAATAGTGAGCCCCTACATGTAGCACTACCTCCTTAGGAGTTGCAAAGTATTTGGGTCCCCCTATAGTCCTGTACAGTCAGGTAACACACATTTTTAACAGACTTGCATCCAGGAGTCAGTAACCAGTCCTTTGTTTTGATGTTTTATTAGGGGGATTTCAACTTTGATATGGTGAGATGCCCAATAGAACTGAGAAACTGAGGACAACTTCCTGAACTATATACAGTGCTTACAGCAAACAGTCTTTTGGAGAGCTAGTCAGCATCTCCTGTAGTACTAACCCAGACCCAAAATAAATTATCTTCTTTACCCAGCTTTCTGAAGGAAGCCTTGAGCAGGGGATCTGGTGTCTGTCACATAAATAGTGAAACAGTGCTAGGTGGCTAGGCTAATTGAAGCCTAACTCCCCCTAGCTGACTAGGAGGGTTCTACATTTGTCATGGTTTTATCTCCTGCCCTGAACTTGCAGGAGATTGCTGCAAAGAGTGGTGCTACATTATTATGCTGTAGATAATATAAGAAATAGAGAAAAAAAGCGCCACAAACTAAATAAAACAAAAGCTGCACTCCTAACCAAAAAAAAAGGTAAAAATGTGAATAAATCAAAGACTGCGCTAAATATAAGTAAATACAAAAATTATTAGCTTAAAATAATGATGTCCGTGATAAAAAAATATTATCTAAAAGTCCGTCCACCATCACAAAGTAATTAAACAGTTCTGAAATATTGTATAAATCAAACACCGTGCAAAAAAAATCCACCACTGAATGAAATGGGTACACTCACCAGAGCTCCATGCTGACCAGATTATAAGTCAGCAAAGCTAGCGTTTGCTCTGGGAGCGATGATCAGCAGAAGTAATCCAAACTGGGAGCAATATACTGCAAGCAGTATTTAGCGCACTCTTTGATTTATTCACATTATTATGCTGTGCCACTCTTTGAAGTCCCAGGCGGAACAAGAGGGTGAACAGGACCTTTGATGCCACCATTTCAGACCTCCTTGAAAAAGATATGTATGCAGATTATTTTCTAAAGTGTTGGGAATGCTTCAATTGAGGGAGTGAATGGTTGGAGTAACATTTCTAAGTTGCATTTATCACTTAGACCCAATGTATCATTTCACAAGTAAAAGCCTTCACCCAGTACTCTGTCTTGTAATATGTTCTTGTACTGAACCATTAATTTTATTTTCAGTCATTCTATGAACTGGTTATATGCATTGAAGAAAAAGAGAAAATCAACCAAAGAAGAAAAGAAAAAACAACCAAAGTGAACACTACTAAAAATAAATACATTTGATTCCCTTTTGAATAATATATATTCCACACAGAAAGATCAGACAGGTTGTAACACATGCATTTAGAGCTATACATTTAGTAAGTACACAAAAACAAACTGGTTTGTATGGCCTGAAATTTAAATGCTAGAACCTGTATCATATTTCCAGATGCATAAATAAAGATCATGGGCCCCACCAGTGACCTTCCTACTGTCATTGTTCTTATCATAATGTATGTTAAAATCAAGGATGGGTAAGAGGAGGACTGAACAGTACCTTACTAGGGACCTGAATTGTGACCTAGAGTGTTTAGGAAAAAGGGAGCATCAGTGACATGAATTAACTTTGAACAATAATTTTCCAGCTAACCACTCTGTCCTCAGAAGTTCGACAGTCTACTTACAGCAATTCAGATGTCAGGGTTTCAGTGTAAATTCTAAGCCCATCCTTCTACCGTCACTGCAAGAAAATGCTAAAACAGGTGGTGTAGTAGTCAGTAAAAAGAAAAATAAAATGCAAAAAAAAACAAAAAACTACAAAACAGTGTTGTAGTAGCATTAATAATGACCATCACATATTTTTAGATATTATGACATGATTGTTAGTAATCCTTCACACAATTACTCTATAACTGTAATACGAACCTCTTTAGTCCTCACTTCTGCTCCAGCCTACAATGTCATGGAGCTCCCTCGCTGGTGCTGACATCTTCTCCCCTCTGCATGAGCAGCTCAGTGGATATTCTAAAGTATCCTGTGGGGAAGAAAGTAAGGAGCCTCATGTCTATTCTGCAATTAAAAATCCTTCCTGCTCACAATTTTCAAAATTCAGGGTAAAGTTCTGCTTTGAATTGTATTTTTTTTATGCAGAACTACAAAAAACTGTTAGTTTTTAGCTGTGGAGACATTCTGGGGTTTTTACAGCCCGAGGAAGACATACAGGGTTAATTTTAGTGCTGGCTAGGATGACCAGAAACTCTGAGGGTAATACATCTATGATTTTAATTCTAAATAAATTCTCCTTATCGTGGAGCCTGCAAAAGTGATATATGACTAGTGTAAATGATTCTGAAGTCCAATGTAGTCAGGTATCGGCTCTTCCTGATTACAGATGTCACAGACAGTACAGAGTCAGTGTCCACAGCAGCAGCCTCTGCAATCTTTATTAAAACAGTGATGGGTATAAGGTCATACAGTATGTCACATGCATACAGATTTCTATGTTTAAATTGCATCAACACCCCCACACTTAGCCCCCTTTCCACCCCCAGGCCCTATAGCAGTTATGTGGGCTGCTGTGGCCATTGTTAAGCTATGTGAATCTTTCTTGTAAAACCTATGAAATGTTTTATGGGTTTTTAATAGGTTAGAAAAGGGGCATTCAGTATGGCCACAATTTATCCAGCAACTTGCTTATGTAAGGCTTTCCCTAAAAAAATGTGGAACTGCATTCAATTTCCCAAATATGGCTGCTCAGAGTTAGAGCTTTAAAAATTCACTAATGGATATCGTAAACAATCATCATGGTTTTATTTGATAGCATACCTTGGTTTTATGCAATAAAATACTTTGTCTGAAATCCAGCATTGATAGCTCAGCACTATAGTCCTTGAAAGACATAAGGCAATAGTTGATTCAGATACTAGAGAAGGCGTAGATATGTCTTGACCTGGTAAGCATCAAGCATCACCTGTAATTGTTCAAGAGCTCCAAGCAAAGATATCATATTGAATCCAGATATATTCAGTGAAAAATGTATATATGTATATATATGTATATATATATATATATATATATATATATATATATATACACACATACACATACATATATATATGTACACATGTATATTTTTAAACCGTGATCTGTCTAGCTGGGGCTACTTCATTAGCTGTTGCAGTAAATGAGAAATCAGGTGGCATGATCAGTCCATTCAGTTTCCACCCATCTTTCCCAAGGGGTCTACCTAAATCTCATAGACTGATATGGCAGTGGCTTCATAAACTGAGGGAGGGATTTAAGCAAATGTGTCCCACAAAAAGGAGCCTGATAGCATGGGGAAAAGTGATTGCTTAAAAAGATTTAGTCTTTCTTTGTGGAGTGGGGGAAACAACCCTTTAAGATTATATTCACATACTATAGAAAATGCAATACACATTATAAAATATGTATTTTAACTTTGTATTATGAACACTCTTTTCTGTTGTGTAAAGTTAATTTTTTGATTGATAAAAAACAAAACCACAATTTGTGTGTTACAATACTCAAAGCACATTCTTCAACTTTTCCTTTGTTTCGTGGCCTAAGGGGTAGGGCTTAGGAAAATGCATGAAGTTAAATATGGTTAGGTGTGGGTTTGGGGGCTGATTGAGTGATGGTTGAAATGTCCCAATGATTTTAAGATATTCGTTATACACAGACTATATCCATACATTTATAAAATACTATGGGGTTGATTTACTGAAATGGGAGAGTGCAAAATCTGATGCAGCTCTGTCGAGAAACCAATCCGCTTCAATTTTTTTTTTTTTTTGTCAAAGCTTAATTGAACAGTCTGAAATTAAAAGCTGATTGGCTACCATGTACAGCTGCATCAGATTTTGCATTGTCCGGTTTTAGTAAATCAATCCCTCTATGTTCTCAATGTTCAGTGCCAGTCATCCAACCAAATTCCATAAATTTAGTCAAATGATTTCAGGCAATGAGGCTTGTGATAAATGATATTTAGTCAGGCACTCAGTAGCTGTTTGAACTCTGATCCCTTGGTAAATGTCTTATGACCAGCAAAGTTGCATTAGTCCTTAGCAATAAATTTCAAAAATCCCAAAAGCCAAATATTGCCTCATTTAGAAGCATAGAACGTCTGGAAAGTTCTAAGCATAGAAAACTATCATCATGACTGCACATAAGAGAAAACTGAATTTCTTGACGTAGCTTGAAACTGAAAAATCATTGTTAAGTACAATAAATTTAAATAGTCTATGCAAAAGATGTTTATTAATTTAGGCTGACCGAATCTCATCTCTAAAACCTTAGATGAGTTTTGGAAGGGGTTATAAGGTGCATGTTGTAAAAGTAGTGAAAAAACAAATGTCATCCTGGGTAGATCTAACATTTTGATGTATCTGCCCCTCTGGCTATGTCCCCAGTTTCAGAAATGACACCAGTACAGTACAGAGGAATCATGGCAATAAACATGGTGCACATGTGACAAAAGAAGTGTCACTTCATCCAGGTAGCCATAAGTGACTCATTTTCACCGGTAATATGCTAACATTTTTTCAAAGCTAACAGTGAAAGGTCTTGGGGATTATGCTAACATTTTTTTAAAGCTAACAGTGAAAGGTCTTGGGGATTATTTTTAAAGTTAATCCTGAGTTTTATGTTGTACTACAAAATAATTTAGGCTATTTGGTATGTAGTTTACTGGCCCAGTTTGCCAAATCTAGAGGAAATGAATATATGGTGTTTTCTCTAAAATCTTAACATATTTGAGAAATGACAATTTAAAAGAGTTTTCTGAAATATGGGTCATTAACGTCCACAGAGACAATTCACACTAAGCAATAGGTTTTATACTGTACAAACCTTTCTTTTTTGCTTTGTCTGTAGGTAACTATGAGTAATGGGCTTACGAAAATTACATTTATTTTTCAGCTTCTTGTTACTGTCCAAATTTCTATCTTACAAATTTTACCTTGAATAAAAGACATAATTATATGTATTCTTTCTATTCTTGTTACTGTCCAAACTTCTGCCTTACAATTTTATCCTACATAAAAGACATTCCCATGCTTTTATTTTTATAGCAAAAATTGATGTTGATCACATTGTCTGCATGAACAGAAATGTAATTTAAGTGACACAATAAAGTTGTATAGTATATCCTGTGTCAGTGACTATTATTTCATGCTCTTGTTTACACTGTAGGCTAGTATGCGTCAGATTCATTGGAATGTGACATGAATGTAGGAATTGAAACTGCTTTTTTTCCCTGGTTTTCAGTACAGTCAAACTTTAATCTGCAGGCATGACCAACTCTTCCCAAAATGTATTTGTTTTGAGTGTGGTAAGGTTTTGTCTGAAGCTTTGAAGATCTTCCACACCAGGAGCTCGGCTACACTAATTTGAGCTCAAGTGTTCCTGTGCCAAATTTACTAACAAGATACAGAACTTCTACAGCTGGCAATACAAATAGTTCAGCATCAAAGACCAGTATGGACCTGTATGATCATCTTGGAAGTGGGGAAAAGTCCAGGGGCAAGCCAAGTCAGCAACGGAAATCCAGGAGTATAGCAACAAAGAAACACAAGTCAACAGGGGGCTGACGATCATTCAGCAACTTGCACACCAGGGTGCTGACTTTAAATGGCCAGTGGGTGCCAGAAACTGTCATGCTTCACATGTGCAATGGCATGTGTGTGCACAATTGCATGCGTACATGCCCGAGCACCCACACACAATATCCGCGTGCATTTTTGTGCTTGGCCATACTGAGTACCCATACCCTTTCTTCTGCAGTTCATCCTCTGACATATAGTGAGAAGTAAAGATCAAATACAATAACTCACCCATGCTTATGTGACAAAACATAAAAACTCAATATGTGACAATTAATGCTGCTGTTCACAAGGTGAAATCACCATAATGAATATAATCAATAACAGCACAAAAAAATTTAATAAATATATAAAAAATTATAATAAAGTCCACAATCCCAAGGAAAATCCATGATTAAGTGCCCCAATCAAAGAAGTCCATGCCAAAACGAAATCCAAAATGTGTTCTTTAAAATAATATCACCACACAGTGCTCTGTGATTATTCTCGAATATATTCCACACTCAACATAATTGATGGACTCTTAGTTTGTAGTGCTTAAGAGTCAAAAACACTTGTTACTGCTGAGGTGTGATCCCAGGAATATTCAGGATTCAGAATGGGATATGGATAAAATTCCTCAATACATTCCAAAATTCCTCATGCAGGCAGAAGG